TCTTGTAAAGTGGATGTAGTTTTCTATAGATTTTGGAAATTAGCCTCTTATGTGATGCATTATTGTTGAGCAATCCGCCCCCCCCCCCAATCTGTGAGTTCTCTGGTGACTTTTTTTGAAGAAGTCTTGTTGGGCATAAATGTTGCATTTTTAGTAGGTCCCAGTTTTTTATCTTGTTTTCTATAGTGTGGACATTTTCTATTATGTTTGATAGTGGATTTATGCCTTGTATAGGAATCCTTAAGTTTGTCCTCATTTTTAATTGATGGTATTAGTAATTTTGTGATTAGATTTAGATCTATGGTCCATCTTGAGTTTGGTTTTGAACATGGAGTTAGGTATGGGTATTTTATTCTTTTGTAGATTGAGATCCAGTTTTCCCAGCACCGTTTGTTGAAAAAGCTGTCTCCTGCCCATTTAATGTGTTTTATTTTGTGGCCATTACATAATGTAGTGTCAATTTGAGGATTAAGAGTGTAGGGGTGGAGTCTAGGCTATTAATCAGGATATGGCCAATGAGATCTCTATATGGGCATGATCTTCCCCTAAGGATTCTGGGAATTGCTGGATCTTCCTCCTTGGGGGCAGGAGAGACTCTCTCTCACTACTTCACTCCCTGGGAGACATTGCAGGTGACAAGACACATGGAACTACCCTAGTGCCCTGAGCTGGACAAGTCACATGGATGCAATCAGATCTCTGAAACCGGAGAAGCCAGAGAAAGACCCTTGCCAGTGCCTAGATGCTTACAATTCCACTGGACCCAAAGACTTTCTACCCACTGGCTTGTGATTGTCCTGCATTTGGCTTCATTGCATGTGTTTTGTGAGTCTGAAGAGGACTTTATAGATTGGTATCAGACATGTGGGCTAATATCAGACTTATGGCTTTGGACTGTACTGGGTTGGGATGTTTTCTCAATGTACAATTGCTCTTGTGTATAAACCTCTTCTTTATACACATATGTGTGTCCATGAATTTGTTTCTCGAGTCTACCCAGACTAACACATATGTCTTTACCAAAACTTAAATGTTTAGAGGTAGTTGGTTGTATTTCTGGGTTCTCAGTTCTAATCCATTGGTCTTCATATCTACCATTATACCAGTATCAGATTGTTAATTCTTGTGGCTATATAGTATAGTATGTTGTAAGGTCTGGGAGTGAAAGTAGGTCTGGATCCTACTGTTTTAATTTTTTAATAGTGTTTTATTTATCCTAGGTTTCTTTCCTTTCCTTTCCATATAAAGCTATTAATTAGTTTTGTATCTTTGAAAAGTAATGGGATTTAGATCAGAATTACACTGAATTTTTATTTTTGGTAATATTGACATTTATATATTATTTAATCTGCCAATTCAGGAACACGGTAACTTGTTCCATTTGTGTAAGCTCCTTTCTGTATATTGAAGGAGTATTTTGTAGATTTCTTTGTATAACTCTTTTGTTTCTTTCATAAGATTTATTCCTAAATATTTTATCTTTTGTGTAGTTATTGTAAATGGTATTTTTCTTTTAATATATTTTCCGGTATCATAGTCTTTAATAATACAAGCTACCAGAATTTTCAATTAGTTCTATCAGTTGTTTAATGGAAACGTTGTCGTCCTCACTGTATCGACTCATAGGAGCCTGGTGGTGTAATGGTTAGGCCTTGGGCCGCATGGTGCGTGGTTGGCAGGTTGAAACCACTAGCAACTCCGCAGGAGAAAGATGGAGCTTTCTACTCTCGAAACAGTTCCAGTCTAGGAAACCCAGAGGAGGGTTGCTAGGCGTAAGTATTGACTCGATCGCAATGAGTTGGGCTTGGTTTATATTGGATCATGTTGTCTTCAATAAAGTTTTATTTTTTCTATTGTTTTGATGTCTTATGGCCCTAGCTAAAACTTCCCGAACTATATTAAATACACTGGTGATAAAGGACGATCTTGCCTATATCCAGATCCAAGAGGAAATGATTTCAATTTCTCTCCATTACAGTCTATTGGTTTTGCACACCTGCCGTTGAATGCATCTATCAAGAGTGAATGTTGACTTTTATTAACTGCCTTTGCTGAATTAATTGATAAATCTTACGGTTCTCCTTTATTTTATGTGATAAATTACATTGTTTTTTTCTAATATTAAACTATCTTTGCATATTTGCTATGAATTCCACTTGGTCGTGATGTATTGTTTTTGATGCTCAATTGAATTATATTGGCTAGTATTTTATTGAAGATCTTGGCATCTACATTTATTAGTGATATTGGTCTGTAATTTTCAATTCTGGTAATGTCTGCCTGGTTTAGGTATCAGAGTTATAGTTGCTTCCTAAAATGATTTTGGTAGCATATTGTCCATTTGTATATTGTGGAATCATTTATATAAAATTGGTATTAAATCTTCTCTTATCTGTGTGATAGAATTCTCCCGTGAGACCCTCTGGGCCTGGATTTTTTTGATGTTGGGAGTTTTTTATGACTAGATTTATTTCTTGTTAAGTTGTAGGCTTGCTGAGATTTTCTACATCATTCTGTGGTATATTTTAGGTAAATAATGCATTTCTAGAAATGTAACCATTTCTTCTAAATTTTTGAATTTGCTGGAAACCACTTTTTTCATAAAACTGTGATTATATTTTTTTATCTCATTTGGTTCAGTTGTGTATCATCCATTTCATTTCTTATTCACAGATTTTGTTTTTCTCATTCATTTCTTTTGGTTTATAAGTTTTGTTAATATTTCCAAAGAGCTAACTTCTTGTCTTATTGATTTTAAGAATATTAGATTTTCTGAATAATCATTTTTTTGCCCTAATCGTTATTCTTTTCTAGTACCTGATGGTTTGTTTTGCTACATTTTCTCTGGTTATTGTAGTTGATGTGTTTAGACGTTTGCTTCAATTCTGTCTTACTGATGTCTTCCTTATTGCTTTGAACTGCCGTGAGTGCTGCTTCTGTTATGTCCCAAAGCTTTTTATATGTTGTATTTTCATTCTCATCTCTATTTCAAGGGATATTTTGATTATGTTATTTATTTCTTAAATTACCCAATGGTTTTTGAGTAAAGTGTTATTCAATTTCCATGTATTCGATTTTTTGGAGTCTATCATTCCATGGTAGATTTCTAATTTTACAGTGTTATGATGTGAAAAGATGGTTTGCATTTAGATGTTTCAAAATTTATTGATGCTTGCTTTATGGCCTAAAATATAGTCTTGAATTTTATGGCCTATTTTAGAATATGGTTTATTCCATAATAGCTTCTGCGGGCATTAGAGGAGAAAGTGTAATGAATTTTGTTGACGAAGTATCCTATATTTTTATCTATGAGATCCAGTTGATTGTGTTATTTAATATTTTTATATCTTTGTTGATTTTCTTTTTGGTTGATCAATCTTTAGTTGACTGTGATGTTTTGGAGTTATACTAATATTATCATATTATAATCTATTTGCCTCTTCATTTCTATAAGAAATTGATTAATATATTTTGATGGTCTTTCATTTGGTGATTATATGTATTGTAGTTATAGCTTCTTCAACTGAAGCTTCATAATTATATGGTGACTTTCTTGTATCTCATTATATCATCAACTCTGACAATGGCTAATTTCTGTATTGATATTAAAATAAAGATTTTCTAAGATTTAAAAAATCTATTTAGAGTTCATGCAGCTTATTGGATTTGCAGCCTTTGATTAGAGAGTCAGAGGCCAATGACAGGTCAACCAGAGTTACAAACAAGATTGAGCATTATTTATTTTGCAATGAAAAGACAGTGTATTCAATACACAGTAATGACTCAGTGTGTAGCAATAATTTACAGCAACTTAGTACTTTTTGTTTCTCATGACTGTTTTTCAAATAATTATGTAATTTTGAGAGATATTACTACGTATTTTTTAAAGAACATATGTGCACATATAAAAATGAGAAGTATATTCTTATGAGGGAATACAATACCCTGTTTTTGAAAATCCATATGGGATTGTACAATAACCCAGATAGTATAAAAGAGTTCCAAGCTCCTGCCTATTACTGCCCCTACTACAAACCTAATTTCCCATGCACACTGGGCTTCTTTGCATCTCTCATGTTGGTCAAAGATCTCCAGATATTTCACAGGTTCTTGTGAGCTTTTGTTATAGTAATCAAGATCTTGAAGCAACAAATATGTTCCAATATTTTAACTATTTAAGGCATATTTCAGAATAACCTTTTATGTTTCATAAGTGAAACCAGATGAAACTGGCGAGGTAAGGTAGTGGTAACATCTTTGCTATTGGAAGTGTAATGGGAAGCAACTGAAGAGGTCTGAGCCACTGGGAAATTAAAAATAACTATTTTCTCTTTTCAGAATATATATTTTGGAGATAGGAAGAATAAATTTTCTAAAGGGAGGAGGAATAAGAGAGGGAGACACGAAGCACTTGCCCATCTCAGACTCACCTCAAAGCAGCTCCATGCATGTGCAACCATTCCACAGATCTGCGTTACTAGGTAGATGCTGCTGTTGGGTAAACAGGGCCGGGAAGGGCATTCGGAAGTTCTTGAGAGAAACTATATGACTGTTCTATTGCTTCCGTAACAATTTGCCCCCAAATTTTGTGATTTGAAAACAACAGACATTTGGTGAAGAAAGCAGGCATTATCCAGCCATCAGAAAGAATAGTGTGTGGGGTCGTAAAACAAGGTTTGTCTTAAAACAAGCAGTCATCTAAGTGAAGACGCACACCAGCCTATCTCTGGCTGAAGGATTGGTACCAGAGCCTAATTTTGAACGCTGTTTGACAGTGAAAGCCAAAAATGCATTCTCAGGTTTTGGGTAAGACTTAGGGCACTCCCCTCTAACTATGGACCAGGAATGACAAAAAGCCTCGTTATCACAGAGTAAATTCTAGGGCAGATTATTGATTTGTAGTTATGTCAACATATATGATACGTAAAGTGTATGCTGCTGAAACTGTTAAAAATAAGTAATTTTTAAAACAAAAAGCACACATTTTTTTCTTTTATCTTAAAAATATATTTGAAAGTAGTTTTCGGTTTCCAATGAAAATAAACATGATTATGTTAAAATATACAAATTCTGTTCTTCAATAACCTAAAGAAATTATTTTAAAAAACACAAATACCCAAACTAAAGTATCAGCATATTAAAATAGTCCCTATATAATAAAAACTTATCTGTAGTTAGTTGGTGATTGTTGCAATACGTAGTCTCCTTGGGTGGCCCTGGAAGCAGTCTAGGGCAAGACCTTACAGGCAGATCATTTACTCTGGAGGTGGTTCCAGAGAGCGGGAGTAAGGGCGCAGGAAGATTGGGACGGTTAAGGAAAAAGGTTACTTTAGGAGTTTGCTGTTGAACCTCTCTGGAAACGAGGGAGCTCCGTTTCAAGGAGATCCAGGAGAAGCATTTGGAACGCTTCCGGAAGTCTCTGACCAGAGGCAGAATGCCTGTCCCCTATTGGCTGACCTTCATCCCAGGAGGGAAGCATTAATTAAACCTGCACTTCACTCCTGTATTTGCACAAGGGAGCTTACTGATTGCTGATGCTTCCAAGAAGGGCCAAGGGCAGAAAGCAAGAAGCCCAAGGTAGTGCACAGAGGGATGACGGTGCCTGGGGGAGATGAACTTGATAACCACTCCATAGAAGACTCTGAATGTTTTTCTTTGGTTGAAACAAGCTATCATGTTCACTCAACAGACAGATGTGTCCAAGGTGTCTTCTTTCCCTTATCCTAGAACAAGGAACTTGCAAAAGACGTCTGATGACATGGTGTGTGGTATTCTGAATACGCATATTCATCTGGAAGAAAGTAATTCCCATTAGTAACAATTTCACAATATTATTCAAGAGAAAATTATGATTTCCTTTCATCTCTGTTCAGAAACAACATCCCTAAATATATGCTACTGATACGTTTCTTTGATCCACATCTTTCCAATAGATTTTCATTCCTCTGACTTACATTATATTTCATGCACACATATGTGGCTATTCTTAGATATTTCAGGTATGACATTTTGAATATAATATCTATTAAAACCTGGTAGAGTCTAGGACTTTATGTTCTAGGCAGAGAGTTCATATTATTAATAAAGCTAGAGGGACTGTGCACACATAATCACCCATGTCTTTGGCAACAGGGAAAGATATACTAATAAAATGCTGGGGTACCTAAAGTTTATATGTGACCAGTGAATTCTGACTAATAATGACACTGTAAGACAGGGTAGAACTGCCCCTGTGGGCTTCTGAGACTGCCACTGTTTACAGAAGTAGACACCCTTGTCGTTTTCCCATTGTCTCCCGGCTGGCTGTTTCAGACTGCCGACTTGTGGTGAGCAGTCCAGTGTGCAACCATTGCTCTACCAGCACGGGGTCCCTCTCAGTAGGAATCGATTTGATGACAGTGAATTTGGTTCTTCACTAGTAAGTAAATAATAAATAGTAAATAAATGCCTCCCAAACTCTGATTTTGCTGAAGTATTTTTCAACATATGTATTATATGTAGATAACATTGCTTGCTTTTTTTTTAGTCTAAAACAGAGTTAATTATTGGATAAGACAATTTTCCCCCACTATCATGATCCCAATTCTACCTTACAAATCCGGCTAGACCAGAGGATGTACACTGGTACATATAGGAACCAGAAACACAGGGAATCCAGGACAGAGGATCCCTTCAGGACCAGTGGTGAGAGTGGCGATAGCAGAGGGTGGAGGAAGGGTGGGGTAGAAAGTGGAAACTATTATAGGGATCTACCTATAACCTCCTCCTTGGGGGATGGACAACAGAAAAGTGGGTGAAGGGAGGGAGACCTAGGACAGTGTAAGGCATGACAAAATAACAATAATTTATAAAGTATCAAGGGTTCATGAGGGAGGAGGGAGTGGGGAGGGAGGGGAAAAAATGAGGGCTTAAGTAGAACAAAAGTACAAATGTACAAATGTGCTTGACATACAATGGATGGATGTATGGATTGTGATGAGTTGTATGAGCCCCCAATAAAATGATTTTTAAAAAAAGACAATTTGACTTGTATTTAACTGCTATTTTTATATTTTGATAGTTAATAGATCTATACATCAATTTCTTATTAGGCATAATATGTGTATTTTAAAAGCAGTGCTCCAGCTCAGGTAAGTCATACTTTTAAGTGAAAACACCCATTCAAAGTTCTGCTTTGTAACTTAATGGCTTTGAGAGAACAGTAGGAACTTAACTTTCCTAAGGCTTGGCTAAAACATCGCCACTACCACAAGCGCAATAAAAACAGTTAAACAGAAATTTCAAATTACCCAGCAAAATAGCATTTATTTTAAAACTATGCTTTATTTTAAAATGCCACTGCACTAGATAACATGTGAGAATCCCTGGTGGCACAGGGGGTTCAAAGTTGTCTACTAATCACCAGGCTGGCTGCTCAACTTCCCAGTCACTCCCTGGAAGAAAGATAAAGCTGCCTGCTACTAGAAAAACTTAAGTCTCAGTTCTACTCGGTCTGACAGGGTCACTTCACGAGGGAATGAACTTGACAAGAGTGAAGGTAGGCGGATGGCTTAGATGACTACTCTGTTGAAGGGCATTCTTGTCGTTAGGTGCCGTCGAGTCTGCTCACACTCAGTGACCTGAGGAGCAACAGAAGCACGTCCTGGTCCCGCGCCATCACGCCTGTTCTTCTGTTTGAGCCCATTGTCGCAGCCACTGTGTCCACCCATCTTGTCCAGGGCTTTCCTCTTTGCCACTGCCCCTCCACCTTACCATGAATGAAGCCCTTCTCTAGGGGCTGGTTTTTCTGACGTGTTCAGAGTAAGTGAGATGAAGTCTCGCCATCCTTTCCTCTATGGAACATTCTGGCTATACTGCTTCCAAGACAGATTTGGTTATTCTTTGGGCAGTCCATGGTACTTTGATTATTTTTTGACAACCTCATAATTCAAGTGCATAGATTGTTGAAGCATGGAACAGTGAATTCAGCCAGCAGCCGGCTAGCCCCCAAGCAAGAACCTGCCAGACACTGGGGACTTGAATATGGTATGGGGGTTCCCTAGGTCACCCAGCCAACTGACCTCCTAGTTGACTGCAGTCCCAGAAGCAATATGAGCAGAGATTTACCAACCCAGCCCAGATCAGCCAGCCCAGCTGCTTCACAGAATTGTGAAGAATAATAAATGGTAGTGGTTTAAAAAAAAGCCAAACACTCTGTCAAAATGTTTTTACTAAGAAACTGTTATCTCTAGTTATATATATATATATATAAATATATATATATATATATTTCCTCTATTCCAGTAAACACATGATTTTCTTCATCCTCTATACCATATCACTGTTGTTATTGTTGTTTTTAACACCCACTGAATAAATCCCAAACTGGTGGCAACCTGGGAACAATGAGCTTGGATTGCTGTGGGTCCCGAGGGTTTTCCTTGGTTGGTTTATTTTATTTGTTTTTTAAGTACTTCCATCACCAAGCCTTTCTTCTTAGTCTGTCTTAGTCTGGAAGCTCTGTTACAACATGATCAGCCTCCTAGCAACACAAACACTTACACTGACATACGGGTGATTGCTGTTTGAAATGCATTGTTCAGAAATGGAACCGGGTTTCCCATGACCTGCTGCCCCTGTACTGATGAATGCACAAAACACTATAAAACAACATTCATGCCACTAACTGCTTTGCCCAAGTCTACAGTGCTGCAGTAATCTAAATGAACATTTGGGTGAAACCACTGGATAAGGAAAATTGAGCTCTTCTGGATAGACATAATCTTAAACTGTGTTTGCTTTTGAAACTTTGTATTCGTAGCATTGAAAGTTACAAGACACCAAATAAGGGAAGATAATTTCAACCATGACACTAATTAGCAGAGAAATAGGGGAAAACTTGGTATATGTTCAATTTAACACAGAAAATACACAGAACACTAAAGTGAAGTAAAATTCCTACCCGCTCCATAGTAATCATAGAGCTGAATGAACGCGGGCCTGATGCTTGTGACAAGTGCATCCTGTTCCACAGAGAATGAGAACTGTATTTTCCTTTGTGTGATCTAGTAACAAATAAATAATGTTAGGTAGATGGAAATTTATTTGCACTCCATTTCAAGCATTCAGAATTATTTATACAATGCCATTTTTATACTTGAGTCCTTAAAAAAACTTTGAAAAATCTTAGACACATGCATTGCGCATGCAAACTAAACATCAACAGAACACTTACATTCTCCAGATAGAAAACCACGTGAGAGGCTTTGGTTTCTGCTCGCTGTACTTGCCCATCTCTCTGAAGCTAAAAAGAGAAGGAAAAGGTGTGAAACGTCATAAAACAGTAACACAAACGTCAAGGTATTCAAAAAGACAAAAGCTTTTTTTTAATGCTTCATGGTTTTCTTAACCCTTACAAATCCCTCCTATGTTCCCCTATAACTTTGCAACAAATATTAATCTTTGATATTTACTTTTTATTTTTGTATAAATCTATCAGTATAATATTAGTTTATGAATTTTTGATAAGTATAATATTGACAGTAATCATAAGGCATCTGCCTACCTTAATTTCTCACAGTTACTTATCTTGACCATATAAAACTATAACTAAACTTGAGAATCCCCAATACTGTTCTGTTACTAGATATATATGAGATTTAAATTTCATCCCGAGAATAGAAACTGTGTCCTTTTCTCCATCCACCTGTGGCCACGGCGTGGTACGAGGCCTCACAGAGCACAGATATCCCTGCAGGCGGTGGTATGGGTTACGTGTTGGTGTCTTCACCACAAGAAGGTACGACAGAAGGCAACGCTGCCTGCTCCTGCACCACCTTCGCTGCTGTTGGTATGTTTGAGGCCCTGTTTGCAGCCACTGTGTCCATCCTTCTCCCTGCAGCTCTTCTTTGTAGCTGACCCTTTACTTTGCCAAGCGTGACATGGCTATGTGACAGAATCGACTCTGAGGCAGAAGTGATTTTTTGGGGGGGAGGACGGGGGGTGGGGGGGAGATCTTCTTCAGGGGTTGAGAGTTATATTCATTAAAACATTTAATTCTTTACCTTTTCAATAGATGGTTTACCAGGCACAAAGCCTGAAAGCATCTTCACATCAATGATTGCCATGTTGGAAGAGCTGCGCCTCCCCAAATAACTATTTTTAAAAAGCAAAAAGTTTAAACTTAATAAAAAGGTATTCACATGCAAAGCTGCTAGTTTTAGGACAAACGTGAACAAGATTTCGCATTCTGTCATATTCCTGAAACTAAAATTGCACCAATAGCCTCAGTATTATTAAATATCATACGAAATTACAATATGCAGAAAATTCTATTGAGCTTTAACTTTTATTCATGTATATTTTCATGATACTTCAGAGTGTCAAAATTCCATAAGGAAAGTGAAGCCCTTATTCAGTCATTTGGCTTATAGGACTTACAACCAATAATTTTACCAAATGGGTAACTTAGTGGCCTGTAAATATGACTAAAGGTGGCTAGAGAAAACACATAATTTCTGAACTGAAGCAAAAATAAAACTCGTTGGTGTCAGTTATTAATTGCTATTTTCATAACCTTTATAGTATTCTTTGTTTTGAGGTTGGCATAGTCTCAAACAGGATTAATGGTGTGTCAATATGAAATAACACACATGTAAACTAATTTCAAAGGGGACCCAGAGAACTGAACTTGATGGTATTGTGTCAGCATTTCGGTCTACAGAATAAAGGGCTGTACCATGTCAAGTCACAGATTCATAATAAGAAATGTGGGGAAACAGATGTCTTGAGGAGGGATTTTTAAACTCCCTCCCTACAGCTTCCCTTCCCTCCTTTCTAGTTTGTATTTTCCCAGTCACGTGTTTTTCATCTAGTATCAACCCAGAGGCACCTTGCAAGAAAGGTTCGACGATTTACTTCTGAAAAACCCACCACTGAGAACTCTGAAGAGGCCCAGTTCCAGTCGGAGCTGATTCAACGACAACGGATAGGGGTGGGGGTGGGTTCTTTCACACAGTTTACACAGTTTACACAATCTAAACAATACTCCCTGAGGGCATCCAGACAGGGAAACTTCTTATGGAAAACAATTGGAATATGCAGCAGACAGAGACATTATGTGATCTCCATTTGAGGTAGACACATGTAAATTAACAAATTAAAAAAAAATTACGACATTGATACCTGGCTGCAACAACGAGATCAAACTTTGTATCAAATGATCCTCTGCAGACCGCATTGGCTGTATTCACAGAAAGAAAATACCCGGTTGACTTCTTGGGGAGGAAAATGCTGTATTTCAGGGTTGCCTATAATAAACATAAAATATATTATTCATTAATCAATGAATTACTTTTAAATTTATTACCTGAAAGTCATTAATATTTTTACTTAAATTAAAAGCAAAATTTTATTTCTGTCAGTGTCTACTATTTCTTATCTAGTACAAATAGAAATAATAACTAACATTTACTGAGCACATACTTTTAAGTGCTTTTCATTTAATAACTTAAATCTCTTCAATGACGCTGTGCAGTAGAGATGTACGTTTGGTCTCGAGTTTCCATGTGAGGAAATCTAGATAAAGAGTGGTAAGTAGTAGCAGAGACAGGAAAACTGTATCTCATGGGTAACAATTAAAGTGATCTTCCTCCTCCCTTAAGAAACTGATAAAATGATGACAGCTAGTGTGAGAAGAGTAGGAACCAAAGCAGTGCCAGCGTGACAGTGAATTAAGAAGGGAACTGTGGATCTGAATCCAGAACGGTAAGACTTGGAAATAAGCTTGGGGACCTGATCTAATATTTCTGTTTTATAAACACACTAAGTAAACAACAGTGAGCGCACTGTGCTATTCATTACAGTACTCTGTGAAACAGTCAAAGAAAGGAACTAATTGAAATGCCTATCAATATTTCACTCAGTGTATACATCTAATGCAGTCATATACCCAAAGTGAAAGTGAGTACATTAAATACTTATGGAGACTGCTACCTAAGTTTTTAAGTGGATCAGAAATAAGAATATAATATTCAGAAAGCAACATGTGCACACCTCAAATGGAGATAACAATATTAAGAGTAACATGTGCACACCTCAAATGTCTCGCTCAGCTGCATTTAAATGAAATCTAAACTAGAAACCAAGTAATGAAATTGAAAATATAAAACTAATGAACGTAACAGTATCAAGTTGGTAGCATAATAAAAAAAGAAAAAACATTTGAGCTCAGCTTTTTGATTATATTGAGTGGTTTATATTATGAAACTTAGTTTAGTAGTTTTATATATTAGTATTATTGCTTTGCTATTTTAAAACTATTTCCTAGGGCTAATACATGTGTAAATGCTATCCAACTGTATCACTGATATTAGAATGAAGAAAAAACAGTGGTTGAGAAAATAGATACTTATGCATAATCAAATATGTGACTGCATATTATTAAGCCCAAATCAAATCCAGTGCTATGAAGACCATTCCAACTCACAGTGGCTCTATTAAAGGTTTCCAGAACTACCCATTTTAATGGGAACAGATAGCCTTTATCCCTTGGAGCGGATGGTGAGTCTGAACCACTGACCTTGCAGTTAGCAGTCCCACCCTTACTTGACAGTGACATACCTGAATAAATAATATTGAACATGAATTTTTAAAACTATGTGCCCTAGATAAAGAGCAAAATAAAACTAGACCTTCGTATGCATTTTTGGTTTCTTAGAAAACAAACACACCATAGTCCACTGAGTACTCAGATTCAACAGTTGCTCACATTTGACAAATTTGCTTCACTTTTGCTTTTTAAAGTAAATAAAAGACATCATCACAGGCCTAGGGATATCATAGTGGATCTCCGAAAACTATAATAATAAGAGTATTCCAACTTATAACAGCAGCGTCATGATCATAATTAACAAAATATAGGGTTCTTTTTTTGGTTAACAATTGTTTATTATGATGTAATATGGTTACCAAGTCACTTTTCCGAAATATATTTTGCTTGCTTTGCTTTGTTTTTCAACCCAGAATTCAATCCAAGATCATGTATTAAACTTGATTGATAGGTCTTCTTTAACTTAGTAGTTCTGTCAATCTTTTGTACTTGTCACGACATAAACTTGTTCAAGAAACCAGGCCAGGTGGCTTTGGGAATATTTCTCATTCTGGAGTTATCAGGTTTCTCTTTCCTTCCCTACTGGGAGTCACTTCGTCTGTTGTCCCGCTCTCTTCCCAGAGACTGGCGGCTCACTGGCAACCTTCATCAGGAGGTGCGTCGCGATTATCCAGGACTAAGTTGAATCGCGGAATATAGGCGGTGAGCGCCAGCGTTCTCCGTGGGAAGGGTGAAATAGAGCAATCCACTGGACACTGTAAACATTCTCTTTTACCGCAGTTTCGCCGACAGCTGCAGAATGCATGCGGGACCTCAGCCCGAGTTACGCATTTCCTTGAGGACGAAGAGCGGTGATTTTCTAATTCTATACCTCCTATCATTGCTAGCTGGTGCTCTACAAAGAAGGGTTTCCCTCCAGAATCTGGGGATACTGAATTGCCCTTCTGAAAAGGCAAGAGGAAATGCTCAGTTTTTTTCCTCCTTACTTGCTCGAAAAATTTAAAAATAATCAGAGGGATCGTCACCTGCAGTGGTAGCAGATGAGTTCTGTGTTTATGACTTTCTCCTTTTGGAGTATGGTGGATATATGAAATCATTGACAATCATTGTTTTCTCTCATAGTGCAATTGTTTCAACCCCTTCAGGTGTCTGTCTCCTGTGATGGTTCACGCAACATTTCAACATAAGTACTCATTACACTATTGCATTTTTATGTGTATTTGGAAATTTTCATGAGTGGAAAGAAAACTCTCAATTCACCTGTACAAACACGCAACCATAGCCGTTCACTTCCACTGTGTAGTTCTTGTTAGTTGCTGGCAAAGGAATCTGCTGTAGCAGCAAACGGTTCTGATTGTTCACGTGGAAGCCCATGTAGAATGGTTGGCTAGAGGAAATAAGCACTGAATTTTGTCTGTTTCTAGAGAAAGTGAGCCTTTGGAACAGGGTCAGAGCTTGGAGAGCCAGAACAGTATCCTAAAAGAAAAATGTAGTAAATTATATTAAAGCATACTATGTATGTATGTAAACTAAATACAGCTAAAATCATTTAAAAACAACTAAAAATGAAATAGCTTTTTCATAACTATTGTGTTTAGGGCACTGTAGATCTAAAAATAAATGGGTCAATGGCAAGTTTCTGTCTTTACTTAAACCTTCAAACTCATACAGACAACAACAACAACAACAAAATACCTTGTAATAGAATCAAAATGTGAAATGAGACAAGAGAAATTTCAGAGTGCCTTGTGAGTCAGGCTTTGGTCTGTCAGATGTTAAAACACACTGTTATTGTTAGGTGTTGTCCAGTCAGCTCTGACTCACAGAGACCTTATGGACAGCAGCAAGGAACACTGCCTGGTCCTGCACCACCCTCACAATCACCATGTGTGAGCCACTGTGTCAGTCCATCTTAAAAACCGAAACCAAGTCAAAAATGCATTGGAAAACAATAGACAGTCTAAAAAGGTGACCACGCACAAGATATATGTATACACATACATATAACTTTTTAATATCCTAAGTCCATATTTCAAATAACTAGAGAAAGTCATTGATATTTATTTTTATCAAGTAAATGACATATGACAACTGGCTGGCCATTTAAAATTCTATATAGCTTAATAATTGAAATGTAATAAATTAATGTATAATAATACATGAAAATATGGATAGATATTTAAAAATAGTTTTGTGTTGAGCGTGTCTTGGTGTTAAAGAAATCTTGGAGAGAATATACTAATAAAGTCAAAAGAAAACAATCTGTATAATTAAAGTCTGATAAAAGTTAAAGAGCAAATAAAAACTTGGAAAGTGCATTAGTACTTTTACCATATTCTGAAGCCTTACAAATAATCAAGAGAAAGATTGACATCCCCGTTGGGACATGCTTCAGTCATATTACCAGGCATCATGCATAAAATAAAAAAGGAAGTTGAACGTATATTCTACCTAATTAAATGTGGGCGATTTACTTTATACACAATTAATTACAACTTTTATTGCCTCAGATCAAGATGTTCACAATTATTTTGAAGTTATATAGTGAAAGGTACTCATACACCATTGATCACATTGGAAACTGATGGAACCATTTGCTAAAAAGTTTATCACTATGTATCATAACCTTTAATTTTGAGTATCCTTTTGGCATACCAAATTTTGGATTATATTTAACCTCTCATTTAAAAAATTAAAACAAAATTAGTTTTTGAATAAACATTTAGAGACTGTTACTAGATAAAATACTATACCGTTCAAAAAAAATTAAAAGATAGCACATTTTTTAAAAAAAGGGCAGCAAGTGTTGGTGAGTGACATCAAACTCACTTGATTGGGTAAAGGTCATATATAAATCCAAGGACTAACACCGTCAAGACAAAGCCATGGCTCAGCTTTTTTTGAATGAAAGATTTGAAAATGATTCTTACCATGCTGGAAGAGAAACCTCCACGGGAATTTTGCTGCCTTGACACCCACTTTACAATCTTCGATGCATAGGACAGCTCTCCTGCGGTCAGCTGTGGGGTGGAGAGAACGGCCAACAGACCATAACAGTTCGTCGCTATCTCTGCAGAGGACGCCCAAGGGTAGCCCCAGGAGGAGTCTACGACAGACAGCTTCTTTTCTAGTTCCCAGTACACCAAGCCATCTGAGGACAACAGAAAGCCAGGGATTCAGTCGTGTTCGTGTGAAAGCATGGGATATATATGCAGATGTGATCAGATGGGGTGTATTTGAAGACTATAAACCTGACTATGTCATATCAAGGTGAGGGTAATATTATTCAGCCTTAAAGAGAAGTGAAATCCTGATGTGTGCTTCCACACGAATGAACATGATGCTGAATGAAATAAGCCAGTCTGTAGCAGACATCTACTGTATGATCCACACATATGACAAATCTAGAATTGGCAATTAGAGACTCTCAAGTTTATTTGTAATTATTAGGGGAAGATGAGAGGAAGTAGGAAAACAGGGAGTGATTGCTGAATGACGATGGAATATTTTGGAAATGAATAGTGGGGGCGGTTGAACAACATGATGAACACAATCGATGTTGCTGTACTGTCCATGTGACAACGTTATGTTTGACCTCACTGTTTGTTTGTTGCTACATATATTGTATTGAACACAAACATTTTTCAGAGCAACGTGAAGGTATGACAAGCACATCGCTGCTACTCCAGAAGTGAATGGTTACTAGGAAAGGCTCTCTGCACTCACCTCGTTTCTTTGCTTTCTCTTTTAGCTGGTTGATGAAAAATTTCCGTTTGCCTTCTTGACCTGCTAAACTGAAAGTATAGGCCAGCAGAGCCTTCTCGTAGGTCGTAGTGGCTCTGTCCCTCGCTGCAGCCTCGAGGCACTGAAGGCCCTTTTGAATTGGCGCAGACTGCAAAGACATGGACGGGGGAAAAAAATGAACGAAAACGATTTGTAGATGCATTGATTCATCCCTGGAGAATCAGTCCTGCCCGTGTTGAAACGTTCAAAGGGCAAATGCAACACGTACCTTTTAACTTCTACAAATACATTTTGATTTCTACATGTCGGGTGTGATTTGACTGTTTAGAGGACGATTTCTTTGGCATTACGTTGTAGCTATAAACACAGTTCCAGTTCCCGTTCATGCTTTGCTGATGTAAAATGTTTTGAGTTCGTGAGAAGCAAGGTAGGCATATCAGAAGAGGGATACGTACTGAGATTGGGTGACCAGCTTCCATCAGTGCGTTAACAACGTAGGCAGTGAGAGAAATCTTATCATCTTTTCCCTGGATAAAACATAGGGGCAAAATGTCAGTCTCAGGGTGAAATTTCAGAAGGAGAGATGCATTTCTTTGCTCATGCCTTCTACTCTGAAAGTTCAAATCGGTTGCTTTTTCTTCTGTATTCTCCCCCTTCTGGGGTGAATTTTTAAAATGTCTTTAAAAAGTGCTGTTTATTAATGAGATAACAGTGAATAAGAATCAAGACTGTGTAAAGGAATAAAAGGATCATTTAAAAAAAAAAATTTATGGTCCTGAGGATGTATTTGGAATCAGGTGGTATAGAGTCCCGCAAATTCTCTCAACACTCACCCTCGTCCTTAAAATTGCATAGAAAATACACGCTACAATTGCACAACAATTAAAAGAGTGCAGTATAAAATAAAAAGGTAGACCAATGGAACAGAATCTGTAGTGCAGGAAGAAATTCTACCAAGCGTGGAAAACAATATAATAAATTTGGTTTTAAAAATCACTATAAATTAACAAAGAGGTGTTATGATAAATGGATACTATTTAAATTATAGGATCAGATCATACATAGATTATATACTGAAATAAATACTCTTAGGTTAATAGTTTTAGTTGTTAAGAAAATAAAATCAACCCCAAAAGACTGATGGGAAATGAAAAGGGAAAAATACAGATTGAACACAAGCACATAAAAATAGTTGCCTCCAGACCTGACCTTCAACAAAAGTAGTCATGAAGTAGTCATGAAGCACTTCATTGTTTTTGCTCCTGCATTTGTGAAGATTTTGTTTTTAATACTTATGTTATTCAACACAAACAGCAGTAGAACAAGTCAGTGAGCTATGCTATTGTGGTAGGAGTTTAAATTGGCCTAACTTTACTAGAAAACAATTTGATGACATTATTTCAGAACCCTTAAAATTCCATTTGTAAACATATATCCTAATATTCATCATTAAAACAAACAAAACCAATAACAACAAAAAACATCAGACTCATTGCCATTGAGCTACGTTTTCAACCCAGGGTGACCTAGAGGACAGAGAAGAACTGCTCCTGAGGGTTCTCAAGACTAAATTTTGACAGGAGCTGGCCCCATCTTTCTCCAGAGGAGTGGCTAGTGGGTTTGAACTGCCAACCATGCAGTTAGCAGTTCAACGCTTAACCCACAGAGCCACCAGGGTTACTTAACAATCACCAGGGAAATATATTGATATGTAAGACTGTTGACACACCTTATTGAAAATACAACAGTAAGAAGCAAGTACAGTATATTAACAAAGGATTTCCTAGATGATGATGTATTAAAATATTATAATGATCCTGGTTCTGTTATCATTCTATACTTCATTCATACTTTTACTAATAATCCTGCCACTGGCACACTTCGCCTCTGCCACCATCACCTTTACCATGGGACAACATCCGTCCTTTCAGAACTTTTAATCTGGTGGAAGGATTTGTTAAGGAGAAAGGCTTTCTAGGTTTCTATGTTGTCATTTATGTTGGTAGAATCTGGAAGTTAGTGACTTTATGAAGTTTTGCAGCGCTATTTGGGAATCACTGAGTGATCATGATCAAAGAACAAAAAAATCTGTAAAACAGAATTTCTCCCTTACCTTCCAGGCACTGTTGAAAGCATGGCCAACGTTTAAGAAGCAGCCATCTGATTGTTGATTATTCATGAGCCAAATAAAGGTCCGAGACTGGATGTTGTCATCGATAAAAATGTAGGGCTTAGATAGTGCAAAATACTTGTAAACCAATGGGGTGATCCTGGAAAACACCACGCAATCAATGACAGTTAACAAATGTGGACAGATACCGGCAATATTAAAAAAAAAAAAAAAGTGTGACTTTTTACAGGATTGTTGAGTCTCCTATTTGAAAATCCCTTTCCCTAATCCTGACTTAATGTGTGAGTTTCACCCCTTCCTGCCAAACCGCAGCCCGTTAGTTATGCGCCCCCTCTTCACCTCTCCAGATGGGGCTGCTGCTGCGAGTCGGCATCGAGGGCAGTTTGTTTATTCATCCTCATGTCCTTGATGCAGTGCGACCTGGCCTATGATGCCTTCCCAGATTCTTTCCCTCCACTTTAAGTTCTTCCTCTATTTGTCCTTTCTGAACATCCGTTAGTAGTATATGAGGGGGAACCCCCAAAACACCCGGATATTTTTTCAAAGCTATGTATTTAAATTTTTAAAAAAACAACCTTATCACTCTCAAGTACCCTCCAATACATTTAATACATTTGTCAAATCTGCAATTCCATTCTTGGAAACATCATTCAAACTGATCTGTTTGGATGGCTGACAGCACTCTTTCGTTTTTTTCTGCCCCTCTTCTGCATCCTTAAGTCCCTGTCCTTTCCTGTCCCTCTTTATTCGTGGACAAAGAAGTCACACAGAGTGAGGTCAAATAAGTAAGGTGTGAGGCTCAAGAGAGGCAATGCTGTTTTTTGCCAAAACTGGTGTACTGAGAGGGTTGTGTGAGGTGTATTGTCGTGGTGGCAAAACCAGTCCTGCAGGCCACAAATCAGGCCTTTCCCCACCTCCCGCTGACCGTACACTGTTAAGCAATCTTTTCAGGACCTCTAAATAGAAAGGTTGATTAACAGTCTGACCTGGTGGAATTAACTCCAAATGCACTATGAGTTGACATGCTTGGAGAAGTTGATGGACGTCCAGAACAAGGTTTGTCATCAATCGACATTTCACCTTTTTTGAAATGCGAAAACCACTTGAGTTTTCTCATAGCACTGTCCTTGTAATCTGTGCTCAACATCACAACAGTTTCTGTGGCATTTTCCCCAAGCAGGAAACAAAATTTCACAGCCGCATACTGTTCTTTTAAATCGGCCATCACATAAAAATGAGGCTCGAGCGAAACTTTTACAAAAAATTCACTGTGACTAGAGAGAACCTTCCTAGTTGACACCATTAAGTGCACTAACTCAGAGCGAGTTGCTGGGATGCTCACCTAGTTTGAAAAACGCATACTACAAAAGTACCTCCTCATATTGTAAACAGAAAAAATATCTGAATTGTATACATGGTTTGTACTTAACCACTAACCTAAAGGCAATTCAAATCCATAGAAGTCCTGGTTCTTCTACTAAGATTACAACCATGAAAATGCTATAAAGTAGGAATTGACTTAACAGAAAGGGCAAGCAGGTAACCAAAAGAGTTCCTTAGAGGCCAAGATGAGACATTTATTCCTCATTTTCACAGACGATCTAAAGTCCAGAGGATTCAATCATCATAAGCTAGGATTATTCATATATATGTACTCTTTTCTCCTATAGATTGACATTCTTTACAGGCAAACACTAGGTTATATGCACCAATGTGTGTAACCTGCATTGCATTTAGCTTAAAAGGGATTTAAAAATGTTCATGATAAAAACTCCGGAATTCAATAATAGTGGAATTTTCCCACAGATGCTTTGAAGTTTCTGGGAAAAGTCGTCCTTCTTAAGCATTCCCTTAGAATCCTGGGTCTATTTTTATTATATTGCACTCAAACTTTTTATCTTAATTGTCTTTCCTCATGATACTTTAAATGTCCTCAAGCTCTTAGGCTTCGTGAGGTTTTTAAAACTTCATGAAGTTTTCTCGTGTATAAGTGGGTACAAACCCAGACTCCTGGAAAAGATGTTGCAGCTCTGCCACATAAAAAGCAGTGTGATCTTGGGTAAATTACTTACCTTTCCTGTGTCTATTTCTTCATCTTAAAACTGGTAGTGTAATGCTACATATAGACCTCAGTGGACTGTATACGAATTCACTATACTCAATAATAAATGATAATGATTATTGTAGTTAGCTTTTGTGATTATACATCTCAACGGATCATTAGCGTTCCCAGGACATAGTAGTTAGGTGTAAAAAATGGGCTTGTAGATAAATGTTATGAATATCACGAATAATTTTAGAAACTTAACTTATGTGTCACTAATCACACTATCTTTTAGTATTATAATCATAGCAAAACCAATGCTTAGTTTAATTGGTTTTTAGTACTTATTTCACTACTTGTAGCAAGAACTATAGTGCTTAAGCAAAGGTTTGTCCTATCTCATTAGGAAAGTACACATCTACACAGCACTATTTCTGACCATTGCTGTCAGTGAGCATGATGTTGTCGTTACCTTTAAGATTGATTTGGGAAAATATTGGTGCTTTGGTTATACAGTAATAATGTGCTTGTACATTAAATTAGCTTTCGTATTTCTTATCTTTATCTATTGAGTTACCTTTTTGCCTGATGATTTGTTTACTTATCCTGTAGTTTTCATAAATAAAACATGGGAATATGAATATTTAACCTGAGATTCCAAGAATGCTATAGGATGAATTTGGGTATACATGTGTAGAGTGTTTTAGATAAACATTGTGGGGAGAAGGTCTATAGTTTTTTCTAAAATTCTTAAAATACTTGACTCCATCCTACTTGACAAAAATGTTTAGCAACTTCTAATAAAATTCACATAAATTATAAATCAACTCAAACCATGCGTGTCCTTGTGGATCTTGAGGTCCAAAGGTGCTATACGATCCATCTGGGTGCTTGTACGACAATTGTTTCTGATAGCCTAGAACAAGAAAAGAGATACAACTCCATTTCCATTTCAAAGTTATGTCCGGCAGCAAAATTGGATAAATTGGCCATTCACATTAACTATAAGTGGAGATAGACAGATAGTTACAAATACATTCAATGTACTTAACAAGAGAAAAGTTCTGGGACTCGGGAATTGAACGTAAATAAAATCATGTAAAGGCTTTACCTTTGACCAAGGATGCAATGGCCTTGAATTTGATCGTTTCTGTCAGTTGTTGAGTCTGGCTCAGGTAGTCCAAAATATGGAAATTTGAAGAGAAAAGGACCATATTCTGCTCGCCATAGCCAAAAGGCACTTGGAGAAGAGTCTCTAAATTTTGCATGGCAGGACCGAGAATGTCCCCTGGAAAGAAACTCAAGTCAATACAAAATCTTCAATCAAAGTGGATAAGAAAAGTAATATTAGGTTGTGTTCAAGACCCCTATGTTATGAATTTCAAGGCAATTATTTATCTTATCTGAATCTTCCTCCCTCTCTCATTTGTTTGGCCCATAGAATAGGATTAGCAAGACATCAGATCTTGCTTTGAGAGCTGAAACAGAGATATGTATCCTAAAGCAGCCACGAGTAGCTCTGAAAAGCTTGTGGAAATCAAAATTCCTTGAAAGATTCTAGGAGGAAGTAAGATAATTAAGAACAAACGCATAACAAAAAAGAATGAAACGCATTGAGTCTATTCAGAATCATTATGATTCATTAACACAGAATAGGACTGCTCCCGTGGGTTTACAAGGCTGCTACTCTGACCAGGAGTGGAAAACCTGGTTAATTTGAAAGGAATCGCATTTGTCTGAAAGGAGTCTGGTGGCAATGACAGGTTACCATTTGGGCTGCTAACTGCAAGGTCAGCAGTTTAAAACCACCAACCACTCTGTAGGAGTTCATGGGAGTGGTAGGGTTGGGGAGGGAGGGAATAAAGAGGAATTGCTATCAAAGGGCTCAAGAAGAAAGATATTTTGAAATTGTTGATGCCAACATTTGTACATGTCTGCTTGATATAATGAGTGTACGGATTGCTGTAACATATGTAAGAGCACTAAAATGATCTATTAAAAAAAAAAGATTTATAGTCTTTGAAACCATAGGGGCAGTTCTACTTTATCCCATGAGGTTGCCATGTGTTAGAATAGACTCAAGGCAGTGAGCTTGAGTTGAATGAGCACTTGTCTGAGTCACATATCCTGACTGAAACAATACTGCAGTGATTTGACTACAGTCTTGTAGCTGTTAGGAGGAGCCATAATATTGTTCAGACTCATAAGGACTCTACGGACAACAGAGTGAAACACTGCCTGGTCCTGCGCCATCCTCACAATTGTTCTTTTGAACCCATTGTTGCAGCTACTGCATCAAGTTGTCAAGGGTCTTCCTCTTTTTTTGCTACTCTTCCCAAAGTATGGAAAACAAAGTTTTACTGTCCTCTCTTCTAAAAGCAGTCTAGGGGTACTTCTTTCAAGCCTGATTTTTGGGTTCTTTAGTCAGTCCGTGGTCTTTCAATAGTCTTTCCCAGCACCATAATTTACGTGCATCCATTCTTCTTCGATCCTCTTATTCAGGGTCCAACTTTCATATGGATAGGAGGCAGTTGAAAATACCATGGCTTGAGTCAGGCACACCTTAGTCTTCCAAGTAACCTTCTTGCTCTACAACACGTTAAAGAGGTCATGCACAGTAGATTCACCCCATGCAAGGTATTGTTTGATGTCTTGACTGCTGTTTCCATGAATGTTGACTACACAATAAACATTCCAGGCAAGATGAAATCTTTGACAGCCTCAATACTTTCTCCATTTATCATGATGTTACCTACTGGTCCAGTGGTGAGGATTTCGGTTTTCTTTATAGTAAGTAATACATACTAAAGGTTGCGATCCATGATCTTTATCAGAAAGTGCTTTGAGTCCTCTTCACTTTCATCGAACAAGGTTCTGACATCAACATATCACAGTTGTTCATGTCTTCCTTCAACCCTGATGTGTTCTTATTCATAGAGTCCAGTTTTTCTGATCATTTGTTCAGCATAGTATGCTAAAGAAGTATGGTAAGATTCAACCCTGACATACATCTTTCCTGATATTAAACCACGCAGTATTCTTTTGCTCTGTTTGAATGACTGCCTCTTGATCTATGCACAGATGCCACATAAACACAATTAAATATTCTGGAATTCTCATTCTTCTCAGGGTTTGTTCTGATCCACAGAATCTAATGCCTTGGCATAGTCAATAAAACACCAGTAAACATCTTTCTGGTATTCCCTGCTTTCAACCAAGATCCATCTGACATCAGCAATGATATCCCTTGTTCCATTTCTGAATCATGCTGGAATCTCTGGCAGCTCCCTGTCAATGTATTGCTGCAACTGTTGGATGAACTTCAGTAAGATTTTACTTGTGTGTGCTATTAAGGATATTGCTTACGGATATAACTGAAGTACTCTGTTGGATCATCTTTCTTTGGAATGGGTACAATTATGGATCTCTTCCAGTTAGTAGGCCAACTGAGTGCTTCCATTGCTTCATCAGCTTGTTGAATCATTCCAGTTGGTATTCCATCATTTCCTGTACTGTTTTCCCCTAAAGCCTTCAGTGCTGCTTCTTCCTTCAGTAGCCTAGGTTCTCGTTCATATGCTAACTCTTGAAATGGTGGAATGTCGACCAACTCTTTTTGGTACAGTGGCAGTGTATTCTACCTTTTTTTGATGCTACCAGAAACATTCAATATTTTCTTCATAGAATCTGTCAATACTGAAACTCGAGTCTTGAATTTTTTCTTGCATTCTTTCTGTTTAAGGTAGGCTGAGCATGTTCCTCCTTTTTGGTTTTCTAAAGCTAGGTCTTTGCACATTTCTCTACAATATTTTATCTTGTCCAACTCTCACATGACTAGATGGTGATTAAATTACCAGGACTTGGGTCAGTCATACCTTAGTGCCCAAAGTGACACTTCTGCCCTTTAGTACTTTAAAGTAGTCTTGTGTAGCAAGTCTACCCAATGCAATGTTCCTTTGAATACTTGACTACTGATTCCATAAGCAACGTTTATGGATAAAAGCAAGATGAAATCCATGAAAACTTCAAACTTTTCAGAATGATTATAATCATAAAAATCATTTTTAGGGACTAGAGTTAAAATGGGCTATAGGAAAACATGCAAGAGTCAGAAATATTTGGAGACTCTGGCACTTAAATTCTTGGTGTGGTAGTGTCTAGTTAGATCTACCAATCTTACTCACTAAATACTCAGCCTAGAAATGGAACCCCAAACTTGATAAAACCAATAAACAGGTCTATGAGAGAAAGAGGTGTAGTTATTTAGTTATTTTTATCCGCCAAGTCTACATATGTTGCTGTTATGTGCTGTCGAGTTGATTATAACTCATAGAAAAGCTGGGGGCAGAGTACAAGTGCCCCCAGGGTTTCCAAAGCCGTAATTTTTATGGAAGCCGCTTGTCACATCTTCTTCCCCAAGAGCAGCTGGTGGGTTCAAACTACTGACCTTTCAGATAGCAGCCAAGTGATAAATCACTGAGCAACAGAGGCTCCTAAGGCTGCACACAATGCACTTACCATGAACGGACCAGTAAGCTCTAGATGAATCTCTCACTAGATTCCCTGGTGATGGTAACAACACTGATTGAGACACTGTGGATCCTAGGAAAAAGTAAAGCGAATTTATTAACCTGAAACTCGTCTTCATTATAAAAAAAAAGTGTTTCAAAAGTTATATATTTCGTTGTAGAAACAATTATTGTATGACACATTTTTAACCATCATAACTAACTGTTGTAAATGATGCGGCGATGAACCTTCATGTGCAAGTCGTTGTTTGAGCTCTGATCTAAAGTCTGTGGGGTATATTCCTAGAAGTGGAATTGTTGGGTCATATGGTAGCTATACTTTTAGTTTTTGATAGCAAATTCCACACTGTTTTTCAGAACAGCTGACAGCGCTACCAATTTTTGTTCCCATCAGTAATAGGCTTCTAATTTCTCATATCCTCATTAACATTTGTTATTTTTCTATTTTTTCCCTCCTTTTTAAAATCTTAGTCATCTTAGCGAGAGTAAAATGGTATCTCATTGTGGTTTTGATAACTAGAGATGCTGAGTGTCTTTTCAGGTATTTTTAGTCATTTGAATGTCTTTTTTGGTGAAATGCCCATTGAAACCTCTGCCTATTTATGACTGAGTTTTTATTTTCGTTGCTAGGTTGCTGATGTTTCATATAGACATCGGTAATTAGATCCTTATCCGCGCTATTGTTTCTGAAGATAATCTCTCAGTCATTTGTTTGTCTTTTCACTTATTTTGAAAAGTCTTTTAATTTTTATGGATATTTGATTCTGCTTTGGGTGTAAGTTTACACAGTAACTGAAATCCCCATGGTTCCATTAGTTATCAGCCCCACAGTCCATCAGTACTCTTAGTTCTACCTCCTCTGACCAGTCTCCGCCCTTCAGTTGTCCTGCCCTTCCTTGTCGTTTCAACTTTGCTTTTGGGAAAACATTATCCATTTTGTCTCATATACCGCATATACTTGAGTATAAGCTGACCCAAATATCAGCGGAGGTACCTAATTTTACCACAAAACTGCATTAAAAATGCGCTCAAAAACTCAGCTTATACACAAGTATATATGGTAATTGATTGTTGAAAGGAATACATGCAATACAAATGTTGCTACTTATTTTCTGGGCCAGTCTATTATTTGGCTCAAAGGAGACTTCTGGGCTTCTAATCATTAACTTTTAATTAAGAAATCATGACTTGGATGGGGAGAGGCTATGGCTTGAGTGAAAGCTAAGGCTTATGTGAAAGTCAGATACTTATAGTCTGTTTGGGGGAGTAAGTTATAGGGAGACGCTTAACTTTTAAAATTTGCTTTGGCTTATGGCAAAATTAAGTTTATATTACCAGAAGTAAGTTCGTTTTTAGTAATTTAGCCATGCTTTGGAGAAGATCAATAGCAAAAAAATGATTCTAAAATAAAGACAGATGTCTCATCCAATGCTGTCGTATTTGCAAGACAACTTAAAGGCGTCTTCTTACCATTTGTGCAAACAAGTGAGCTCTGTGTCATCTCCTTTTCAATACCTTCAGGCTAATTGTTGGAAGAAAAAAAATAACCAAATTCATATATCACGTAAATTCAGAATATTAAGAAGAAAAAAAATAACCAAATTCATATACCACGTAAATTCAGAATATTAAATTAGTAATAATGTTTAAAAGAGAATAAATCACCCATAAAGTTATCCCAGAGAATGAGTCTATAAACTTTTGAGCCCCAAGATAATGGAGAAGTGAACCATTTGATTTTGCAAACTTTATAATGAGCTAAGTGTTTCTAAAAGTAAAGCCAGGAATTTTCTCAAAATTTCTCCAAACTGCAAAATGAGTTCTCTCAATTTTTAAATGTATTATACATTTGACTCTAAATATTCTCTGTAGATTGAATGTATCAGGATTAAATGATTCTCCTTGGTCTATCTCCCCAAATGTCTGATCAATATTTTGGGCTGTCCCTTGGCCAGGTGTCCATTCATCCTATCGCTATGGGCTGTGAAAGAAATACATTTCCTACTGAAGATACCATTTGAAATACAGACAGGTTTTCTCCCCAGCCCCATAGGTTTTCCTGTGAGGCTATACCTCAACCAGCAGCGGTCTGACCAGTGTATCCCTCCAGGCAGAGTTCAGAGTCAGGGGTGATCTTTTTCCACAGACACAGTGCGGCAAGGTTTCGGCAACAACTGTGAGGTTGACAGTACCTTCAATGGCAAGAAATGATGTAAATAAGTAACAGTCGACTACTGCTGAAGCAGGAGATCCAAACTGTAAATAAAATAGAAATTTTATGAAAGACAGAGGAACGCGTGACATAGAGCACGTGAGGTCTTAAAGTCAGGATTCAATTCTAACTCCCACCCTTGGCCCTCGGCAAACAGATCCTGAGTTGTGAAAGAAAAGGGGGCAGGGGCTTTGAGTTCCAGCTTTCCACTCAGGGCACCTGGGTTTCATTCCCAGCCAATGTACCTTAGATGCAGCCACCATTCATTCTGTCGAAGGAAGTTAGGCTGCTAATGGACTCAGAGCTGAAAGATAGACTGCGAAGAGAGGCTTGATGATCTACTTCGGAGAATCAACCAATGAAAACCATATGTATCACAACAGTGTGATGGGCAACCCATCATGGAAAGGAACAAGACGGGACAGTGTTTCTTCCCATGGTGTATGGGGTTGCCAGGAGTCAAGGGTAGACTGGACAACAGCTAACCAAGTCGTTGTTAGGTGCTATCAAGTCGATTCCAACCGATTGCAACCCTCTGCACAACAGAATGAAACACCGCCCAGTGCTGAGGCACCATCACAACTGTCGGCATGTATGAGTCCATTGTTGTAGCCATCCATCGCGTCAATCCTTCCTGTTGAGGGTTTTCCGGTTTTTGGCTGCCCTTCTACTTTACCAAGGATACTGTCCTTTTCCAGGGGCTTGTCTCTCATGATATGTCCCAATTGTGGTTTGCTGTTAGTGGTTATCAAGTCGGATCAGACCCTTAGTGACCCTATGCTCAACCCAAACACTGCACTCCTCTCCACTTGACCAAGTATGGTGTCCTTCTCCAGAGACGGAGACGAAGCTGGTGGCAAGGTACCAGGTGGTCAGAAGTCTCACCACTGTCTCTTGTACGGAGCACTCTTCCAAGAATGACTTGTTGGTTCTCTCATCAGTCTATGGTATTTTCAATACTCTTCACTAGCATCATAATTCAACTGCATCCACTCTTCTTCAGTCGTTCGTATTCGATGAATAACTTCCACGTGCATAGGAGGAGGCAACTGAAAATACCACAGTTTGGGTCACGCATACCTTAGTCCTCAAAGTGAAAACATCCTTGCTTTTCAGTACTCTAAAGAGCTCTTGTGCAGCAGATTTGCCCAATGCAGTGAGTTGTTTTGCCTTTTGACTGCTGTTTCCATGAATGCTGATTGTAGATCCAAGCAAGATGAAATTCTTCACAACCTCAATCCGACTCCATTTATCACGATGCTACTTATTGGTCCAGTTGCGTGGATTTTGGTTTTCTTTACATGGAGTTGTAATTCATACAAGAGCAACAGGAATAGATCAGTGGAAAGCAGTGATACCAAGCAATGAGCAAACAAGTTATAATAGAGAAATAGTTCAACATAATCTCTCAAAAGGCTTTTTACAAAGCCTATTAAAACATATAGGAATTGAAAATTTTACCCAGTGTTTGGGGAGTAACGAGCCAGGAGTAAGATTTTCTCTCACTGCCACATATGCAAAGGTTTTTATCTTCAGTTGGGAGAAGTCTGGCTTGGTAAGCATTCGATGGCATCAGTCCAGTACTAATCTGTGAGAGCCAGATAAGAAAAGAGAGCAAGAAAATTCAATTTTTTCCACATATTTCCACAACAAAGGTGTCCATTTCCAAAATATTTGAGAGGACATCCCCCCCCACCCCACCCCCGCCCCCACCAATTAATCATTCATGTTGTGGGAAGCACGGCTTCGAAGCAAAGAGGAAACCTTAAATGTCTTGTTATATAATTATTACAACCCGTCCTTACAATCGATCTGTCGACATTTACTGACCTTTGGCTAATCATTTTGTGTAAAGCAGGACAACGATCTCATAAGAAGGAGCTCTGGACTGCTAACCATAAGATTGGTGGTGCAAACCTACCAGCCTATCCGTAGGAAGAAGATAAAGTTTTCTGCTCCCACAAAGATACAGACTCCGAAACTCTATTGTAGGGTTGCTATGGGTCAGAATCAACATGGTGACAGTGGGGTTGAAGGTCTTACACAACAATTCACTATGTTAGGGGACTTTTTAAAAAGTTTTGGCCAATCAGGGTTGATTATCTTAAGTTTTATGAGTCTTAAGGTCCTTTTTCTTATCTATAAATGAGTTCCAATGTCACCGACCGCTCACATTCTTGTTTATGTCATACGAACCATGCATACATTATCCAGAACAACACATCCCATTTCACACTCACAAGTGACGTGATTAACAAGCAACTGGACAAATGTCTTCTTTATTGTGAGAATCTATTTTCCTACCCCCAAAAAAGTTACCACTGAATACTGCATCCTGGGAAATGTGGTATGTTTTGGACCCTTGATTTGGTTTAAAAAACTGTTATCAGCTTAACAATGAATATATTGGTCAAGTGTCTTTTGGCATTTTGGGTATCTCAATCTGTAACTATTATTAACCGATGTTGATTAAATACTTGGGTGTAAGTAAATATTGGGGTTGAGGAAAATACTATATTAAAAATCACAGTGAAGCAAAAGATGAGCCAATCAGACATACCGAGCCCAAATCCAAACAAACTCACTGCTGCTCAGTGGCTTCTGACTCATAATGGCTCTCTACAGGTCTTTGGAGACTGGATCTTTATGGGAGCTCACAGCCTCATATTCCTCCCTTAGAGTAACAGATAATCTTTCAGTTAGCACTCACAATCAGAGTGACTGGTGGGTTTGAACTGTAAGCTTGCTGTTACTAGCCCATTGCTTACCTGAGAACACTACCCAGGCTTCTTAAGACAAATTAAAGATAAACTAAAGGTCATGTAATTATTTTAGATACTACTGCAACGCATTATGTAGGCAAAAATGGGAAGATGGACTCAACTGTTAATTATTTGCTATGTATTGTACAAGGCTTTTCATTTACATTAGTTCAACCCTCACAAAACCCAGACACACATGTGCTAGTAATACCCTTTTCCACGCTCACAGGAGGTCACGTGGGACTGTGAATGAGTCCTTGGTTGGCCACCAGCCGGTGTGAAGGAGAAAGATGTCATCTGTGTCCATAAAGATGACAGCCTTAGAAACGATATGGGGCACTTCCACACTGTCCCAATAGGGCCAATAGGAGTCATAAGCCACTCAACTGCCACAGATTTGATTTCGGTTACAGAGTGTAAGTGTCTTTTGTAATTAATCCAATGCTTTACCTGCTGCCTTTCCACACCTATTACCTAGCAGTCAAGAGCCCAGGGAACCATAAAATATCATAAATATGCAAAGTCTCAGGTAATCTAAAAGTGAAAGGTAAGCAGATTTAAAATCAAATTATAATACCCAGCTTAGTTATTATATAAATCCCTCTGCTTTTAGAGGGTCTTGTGCATAAAAGACCCTCCTTGGATATGTTGAAGATTGAAGGGACTAGATATTTTTTTATCCCATCATTCACTCCCACAACTCTCCAACTTACCCATTACACACACACACACACACACACACACACACACACACACACACACACGAAGGTAACAATTACATCATAGAGTTTATCTTCAGTTCTTTTATATTCAGTCAGTCACTCTGATACATTAATTGATATTTCAGAACTATACACTGAATGACTGGTTAACGTTTTCGAAACAGCGAGTAACAAAAACAAAAAACACAACTCCACTCACTCACTGCCATCTAGTGGATTCCGACCATTGCAACCCATTAGGACAGGGTAGATTACCCATTTGGGTTTCTGAGACTAAATCTTAAGGAGAGGAGAGAGAGAAAGCCGCATGGTACTTACAAAGTCCCATAGAAATCAAATGTGAAGATCGTCATGTGTATGGAAAGAAATGACTATGTACTACGAAGTCTGAAGGCAATACCTGAATACATCCATCTAGGTGATTGAAGACATTGGCCTTCAGGATGAACGCTTCTCCTCGAACAACTGAATAAGGCAGAGTGAGGTCCACAAAGAAGGGCTGGAAGGCTGTCAGAGAGATGGAAGGGGAGATGCCAAATCCAGCTTGACCATCTAGGCAGAATCCAGTGGCCTTCCATGTTGTAATGGTATCAGGAACAGTAAGAGGAAGATTGGCTTTCCCTGTGGAGCTAAATGAGAAAATTCTGGTAACATTGAAGAGGGAAGCCAACGCCACCACCACCACCACCATCCTCCTGCCCCTAAACAAACAAAAGCCAATTCTGACTCTTAGAGACCCTATGGAGGGCAGGGTAGACCTGCCCTTGTACGTTTCGGAGACTCGTCATGAGTTACCAGTTTCAGAAAGCCTCCTCTTTCTTCCGCAGCGCTGGCTGGTGGTTTCAAACTCTGACCTTACTGTTAGCTGCCCAAAGCGTAACCACTACACCAAGAGGAATCCACGAAAAAGGGAGCATGCACCATGTAATACGGGAGTGGGGAAAACCGGTTCGCTACGGTAGTTCCACTTGACACGTGCAGGTTTATAATCAAACAAGACGTGCTTAAACATCGCTCTGCAATCGGTGGCTGCAAACAAT